TTCGCCAGATGGATGCTAGGCAGCGCCGTTCTGAATCCGCGCTTCCTGAGCTTCACGAGCACGCCGGCTCTCTTCCCCCGTCTGCGCGTCCTGAAGCGCTTGATCAGCGCAGCTGCTCCGCCAAGTACAACGTTCAGCAAAACGTCCGAATAAACGAAATCCGGTAGAAGATTGTGTGGAGTGTTCTGCCGAATGTTCAGCAGCTCATCCCTGGTAAAACTGATCGTGTTTGAGAAACAAAAAACAGGAAAAACTAACAAAAACAGTACAAACACTGGAGAGCCAAACACTGAGGCTGCCGTCTGCGGCGCCATCGCATGAATGCAATTTCATAAAAGATGCCATCAATAACCTTTAAATCGCCTGCTGTAACACTCATAAAATAATCTTAAACAGTGCCAACAGCAAAGTGATATATGCGATATTGATATATGTATCCGATATATGTTCACCGAGAACAAAATGACAAATGATTAAATCTGGAGAAAAAAAAAATGTTCTGCATGTGGTAATTGCATATTTCTGCAGTGTTTGGTGCTGCAGCATTAGTTTGGGCATTTGGACACAATATCTGTAGCTAGTTCAAGTGTGCGCATCTGAATTCAGTACTAGTGTGGTTTTTAGCACTTCTGTGAGTCATTTCACTAGTCTTGTCGTTAAGAATCTGCAGTTAAAGATGCTCATCCAGTAACATGCTATGAACTGTATTATTCGCTGAAAAACAACAAACAGTTGCAATTTTGTTTCTAAGTATCAGCAAACATGAATTCTGGCCAGTGAATGTGTGAATGACATCAGTAACACTTATATTTACCATGAGACACGTGATGTCAAGTTCTATGTGTGAAAATAATGATAATAATAATAATAATTGTTTTGTTGATTTATTCTCAGATGTTCCAGAAACAATATCATCAGCACAATCACCATCATCATCATTATCATCATCAGTCGAATCTCCACAGCAGAGAATGTGTGTCAGAAACTGATTCATTTTAAAGGATTTTGAGATGTTTACTATTCAGTGTCTGAAATAAACACTGAGCACCAAATAACACTTGTTCTGTGTAAACAGATCATGTTTAGCAAATATACATTGACTGTAATATCAGAGGAAAACTGTTTCCTCCAGACGAGGCTTTTTGCTGCTTCCAATGCTTATTTTATTTATTTTTTTTGTGCTTCCACAGTCTGTCACTTGTGTATTCAAGGCTTAGTGTATGACTTTCTGTAAAGCTGCTTTGAAACAGCATTGACTGTGAAAAGTGATCTGCGAATAAAAAGTTTATTTTAACTCTTACTTTACTTACATTGACGACACAGCCATATCACCCTGCAGCCCAAGACTGGTTGACCACTGAAGCTAAGCAGGGTTGACGCTTTGGGTGTACAACAATACACAATAAAGTGCTATATAAATGCATCATTCATTGATGTTTGTCTTTTTTGACTGGAGCATCTAGATTCAATCTGAGGTAAAACTCAGTTTTTTTTTTGTTTTGTTTTTTTAAGTTAGCCAAGTTGTTCTCAGTCAAGTTTCAAACACTGCACTGCCAGACAGATAATCATAACCTCACATCATTGACTGAGCCACTGTCCATCAGATGTCACTGTCCCTAAAATCAATGCCAGTCAACACGTGAGAACATGCGATGATCACAGTGACATCACACCATTCTCATACAGTGACAGTGTCAGTTTGAAGAATAATCAGGATTACTGTGAATACACTGCTGTCAATCATCTCACTGCCTGACCAGCCACAGCACAGAATCTCAATGCTTTGTTTTCAGGTTCAGGCTTCCATGTTTAGTATTTTTTGTTATTGTCGTGATGCTCTTCTGCTGTATATTTAAGACAGTCTTGCTAGTCAGAATTTTCACTGTCAGTATGAAGGATGTTTAAATGACAGTGCAGCGTTTTGTTCTGCAAATGAAACAAAAAGTGTGAAATTAAAGCACAATATGCAGCTGTGATCAGTTAGTTTGGTTAACGTTAAACCACACGTCTGGCCACTAGCGGTTCTTGTAAAACTCTTAAGTCTCAGTGTTAAAAAGCTCACAAACTTTTAACATGTGCAGCTCAGTGCTCACTTTAAAAGCATAATAACTTAGAAACAACGTTGAAATAATGTTTAATGCTAAATGGTTGAAAAAGGTTAACAAAAACACTTATAAAACAACGTGGATTTATTTTTATTTTTATTTTTATTTTTTTTTACAAGATCTGTACGTTGAATCAACTTAAAGGGTTAGTTCACCCAAAAATGAAAATTAGGCTGTGTTTTACTCACCCCTGAGGCATCCTAGGTGTATATGACTTTCTTCTTTCAGACGAATCCAGTCGGAGTTATATTAAATATTGTCCTGGCTATTCCAAGCTCTATCATTGCAGTCATCGGGTGTTGCAGTAGCGAATCGATGCATTTTTGTAAGAAAAATATCCATATTCAAAACGTAATAATCACTTTAATCTAGCTTGCGCCAACAGTTGTACACAGAAGCAGTTCCGGTTCTATTGCTTTATCACAGATGCTAAAGTTAGATGCTCATCTGATGTTGTTGTTTGTTGCTGGTAAGTTGTGTGTTAATGTCTGTCTTTTAGAGATTTTTCACATTTTTCTAATTTGAATGCCATGCATTAGGTGTGTTATATTTTTAATCGTACAATAGCCTCAATGAAAACATACTTTGTGTTTTCTGAATATCATATAATGGCAAATGTCGGTTACAATTTAAATGAATTAAGATTGTTTAAAGGAATGTTATAAAACAAAATCCTGTTTTTTAAGAACTTTTCAGTAAACAATTTCTTCTTTCCCCTTGTAGAGTCATCAAGGATCCAGCTTAATATTACTGCAGTCAAGGCAGCCGCCACATCGAAATGAGCAGTCAATCTAGCCGCCCCCATATTTCACGGTCCGCGCATACACTTGCTATTACGGCAAGACCATCAGAGTACTGCTCTAAAAAAAACAAATGATCTTCCAGCGAAGGCAATTCACATTCATTAATTCAGTCAGTCTGTCTGTCTATTTGTCTGAAAGAAAGAAAGATTTTTTTTACAGGCCAATTTCATCTGAAAATGATAGTACACCTCACAGCCTGTCACTGCATGATATGCTGAATTCTTAATAAAAGCCCTCCCACACTCATCTTTAAATATTTAATCTTTTAATCTCTCTCTCTCTCTCTCTCTCTCTCTCTCTATATATATATATATATATATATATATATATACACGCTGTTTTGAATATACATTCAAAAACTCATCAAAAGTTTCCACAGACCAATTTCACAACAGATTGAGAGTACACCTTCTCACAGTGTCCACCTGAGGTGAAATTGGTCTGTGGAAACTAGGACTTTTCTTTTTATGAAATTCTGAACGTATAGACAAACCAGCGCATATATTAGTTTTGGGGGGCTCTTATTTTGGAATGCAACATCAGAATGTCCTGAAACAGTGTAGTTGACACTGTGAGAAGGTGTACTGTCCATCTGAGGAGCAATTGGTTTGTGGAAACTAAGACTTTTATTTTTATCATTTTCTGAATGTATAGACAAAACAGCATCGATATAATTTTTGGGGGGAGGGGGCTCTTATTTTGTAATACAACACCAGACTGTCCTGAAACGGTGTAGTTGACACTGTGAGAAGGTGTACTCTCCACTTGAGGGCAAATTGATCTGCGGAAACTAGGACTTTTATTTTTATGAATTTCTGAATGTATAGACAAAACAGCGCAAACATGAGTTTTGGGGGGCTCTTATTTTGGAATGCAACATCAGAATGTCCTTAAACGGTGTAGTTGACACTGTGAGAAGGTGTACTCTCAATCTGATGTGAAATTGGTCTGTGGAAACTAGGACTTTTCTTTTTATGAATTTCTGAATGTATAGACAAAACAGCACAAACATGAGTTTTGGGGGGCTCTTATTTTGGAATGCAACATCAAAATGTCCTGAAAGGTTGTAGTTGACACTGTGAGAAGGTGTCATCTCCACCTGATGTGAAATGGGTTTGTGGAAACTAAGACTTTTTTTTTTTTTTAAGTTTCAGAATGTGGGGACAAAACAGCATATGAGTGTCGGAGGGCTTTTATTTTGGAATTCAGCAGCAGACAGTGTCAGACTGTGAGGTGTACTATCATTTGCAGATGTAATTGGCTTGTGAATTTTTTTTTTTTTAATTTATATTTATTTATTTAGGCCTGTTTTTTTTTTCTTTTTTTTC